GTCAGAATTCTGACTTTTCCCCATACTATACTGAAACAAAATAAAAAAAATCAGCTAACTTTTTTTTTTTTTCCAGTGGCCCTAATCCTCTTCCGTATTTCTCACCTTCAGGAGCTTCATCCCTTTTGGTCAAACTTTTTTCCTGTTTTATTGAGAATAGATTCAGGTTTTACTCCCCGGATGAAGAATGTTTTAGGAAAGGAGGAAAGCAAAGGTGACCTACTGACACCCTGACTCAGGAACATGTGGAGAGGAGGAACACGTTTCCTAACTTACTGGCTGAGCGTTCCTCTCCCCTTTGTGCTCATTCATTCCCTGTCAGGTAGGTGTGGCAGGAAAAAAAATCCCCCTGCAAACACACTTTTACTTCCCCCCCCCGCCCATGCATCCTGAGCTTCCTCCAGCGGCGTGCGCGTGCCTGTCCCCGTCCGGCGAAACTGGACTCCATCCAGTCAAAACAAACATAAAACAGCTCATCAATCACGCTGAACGTTTATGGCCAGGAAGCAGCGCGACCTGTTTTTGATAGCTAGCTGCTGAGAGCAGGAGCAAGCCCACTCATGTGTGCTTAGTTCCTGAATTCGGCGCCAACTGCCACTCTTCCTCTTCTTCCAAAGCCAATTTCACTTCTCTCTAGTTGTTTTTTTTGCATCTTCAAAGGAAGCTGGTAACCAAAGGTTGCTTTAAAGCAAGCAGCAGGTCATTGGATACCTGCTCACCGCTACTCAGGTGAACACTGAGCAATCAACTGTAATATAGTTGCATCATCAGGGAAAAATAATTCTACCAATGATTTTAAAAGGACCTTTAATGGAAACTAAACCTATTTTTCCTTTAGGCTAACGGCTAAAACTCCCTCCAATCTGCTTTTTAGATCATTTGAACCATTTTTTTCATTAAATGGAAATCATTCGTTAAAGGTCGGTAAGATGCACATGTCACGGTTTAATCATTAGGTCGTGGAAGGAAGCGCTTAAGGACGGAAAAATGTCCCATGTATGCTTGAATGTCAGGTTGTGACTCAGAGCTTCTGGGATGTTCGGGGATTGCATTTCTAAGAAACGCAGCAACACCTCAGCTCTCAGCAATGCAGCGAACTCTGAACAAACTCAGCAGAGCTGCAGCATTCTAGATATAGATATATAGATATAGACAGATTTATTGTCATTCTGTTAAACAAAAATACATTCCGTATGGAACAATTTCATCCTTTTTAAAAGAGCAACCTTAAAAAATATAAAAAATAAATAAATATATAAAAACAGTAATATAAAGATATGACTGTAAATTTCCAGTTCTAATGTTTTTTATTTTATTCTATTTTCTAAAATTATCTTCCAAACAAAGAGCAGGTTCTTCAAAAGCTAATTTAAAAAAAAGTCAAACAGTAAACTGATTCACTTTGCTGTTTTATCAGAATTTTTTTTTTTACATTTTAAGCTTTTTTTATTTTTAAAAGATTGAATATTTTACTGTTTTTTTTTTTATATATTTGATTTTTTTTTTAAATCAAAGAATTTTAATTTTATGATTTGATTTTATATTTTCGTTGTTTTTTTTTATTTCTGTCACATTGATTGGCCGTTACTTCTGCGTTCTGGTGTGCGGATGTTCTGGCCCCTCCCTCTTTACCCAGCATGCATCAGAGCAGACTTGTCCGTCATCCAGACTGACAGCTGTCCCAGAATGCACTGCAGCAGCAGCTTCCAGGTTGATTGGGAGAAAATAACTTCAGCTAAAAGTTCTTTTTTTCAAAAAAATATAAATTGCGATTTTTTTTTTTTTTACGTATATTGCGATTTTATTTTGATTTCCTTTCTGCTAACGATTAGAGATAATTAGCATTTATCTCTACTCTCTACTCCTTACATTTTAAAAATCGACTCATCAATTTTGTTCCATTTAAGCTCATTTTCATTATTAAATAAAAAGCATCCAGACAATTCATTTCTTTGTAGTTGGACGCGGTGCTGCCCCAACTTGTTGCTCACCACAAACCAAAATAAATAGTTTATCAAGATGACGCAAAGTTATATGTGATTCTGTTACCATTAGTTATAAAACTAAGAAGATGAAGTTTAAGGAAGTTCTCATCTAGAATGGTAGAAAAATGTTCCTTCAATAAGAAAGTGCAGTAAAGCTTCTGGATTTTTACTTTTATACTTTTAGTTTTTTTAATTTTATACTTGAAGTAGTTTTAAAAATGATCATTTGACACTTTTAAAAAGCTGAACTTCTAGAAAAGTGTTTTTAAACAGCAGGATTTCTACTGGAGGAATAAACATGAATCCTCTGCACGGCTCCAGCCTCAGAAGCACAGCCAGAGATGAATCACCTGTGCACTGCAGCTCAGCTGGCTGAAAGAAGCTTCCTGTTCATCCCGAACACTCAGCGCTTTTTAACCTTCCCTGTCCTGCTTCTCCCTATTGCTGTTCCTTTTCTTGGAAAAGCAGCGCAGCCTCAGGTGGCTCCAGCTCAGGCATGCCCAGCGGACGTGACCCATCACGCAAACTTTGCCAAAACGCCTTTCTGAACACAAAACCTTTAACGTCTGCTGCACTAAATCACTATTAAGACGCCTGCCGGCGCCGACTTGTGGGATTTCCAGTTTGATGAGGAAATAAAAGCTGAGATGCAGAATATCTCTTCTTTTTCAGCTGCTTTTGATCATTTCATCTCTTCAAAGTGTCAACAAAAAAAAACTGTCCTTGAAGAAGTTCTTTGTTGTGCAGAAGACTGTGGGTGGTCTGTTCGTCGTTTTCCTCAATCCACACAAACAAATCAAACACACATCACTTCCAGCGTGGCGGCAGAGAGCCGCCGCATCCAAACGGACATTTAACGGGAGGAAGAGCGTTTGCAGATTCTGCAGCCTGAGTTGCATTTCCTATAAAAGCATTCAGTCACAGCAGCAGCGTGTGTGTGTGTGTGTGTGTGTGTGTGTGTGTGTGGGGGGTGTGATGCTTTGCAGAAAGCCCACCACCCCCACGTCAGAAGCGCCATGTGGAGTGGGCCGCGAACAGGAAGAGAAGGGGGCTGCGCTCAGCTTCGTTAGACGGTGTGTGAGAACAGTTTCCCTTTCAGAGGAGAGAAAAAAAAGTTCACACACACACACACACACATACACACACACACACACACACACACACACACATAACAACAACAACATTTATTCAGGAAGCAACGTCTGCCCACTCAGGAAATTCCTGAGGACAGAGCTGCTTCCAGGGGCCGGAAATTTCCCCCTCAGAGAAACAGAGAAACAGCAACACACACCACTTACTAACCACGCAATCCCCCCCCCCCACCGCAGCTAACACGCCATAAAGAAGCAGAAAGGCCAAAGGAAGCAGTGAGAGACAAACTCTACATACCTACTGTACCTCTGGCTCTGCAGAGACAGAAGATTCACTGGCATGTATTCATGTATTCATCCATTCATCCGCCCCCTCAGAGGTAGATCAGAGCAGGCCCAGCTGTGAAACCCCCCCCACACACACACACACATAGACAAACTAAAGAAACTACACAGCCTTGTTTCCATGGACTCTAAAGGCCAATTTATACTTCTGACGCACAGCCTCTGCAACCATCATCTGCCCCCCCCCACGCAGAGCTTCTGCAACCGTCGTCGCGCACCTAAAGAAAATCCTGACTAAACGTCGGATGGTGGCAAACCCGCGCAGACCTCGAGCGGAAGTGCGTAGACAAAAAGCAGCTGTGATTGGTCCTTGCTATTTCCGGCTTGTGGTTGTCCTTCTCGGTTCGTTGCCGGGGCGCGCCATTTTTAAAAACCGAGTAGTAATAACAACGGATAACTACGAAGAGAGGTTGATCGAAGAGGTTCGGAAGGTCAACCATTGGTACGATGCCTCAGACATGTTGTTTGGGAACATAAACACTCCCGCCAGCGCCGACGAAGAAGTTCTCGTGACCATCCGGCAAAGTTCTTGCGAATAGACTCCCCCTAGTGCTTTGGCAGGAAACTGCTGTGCATCCCTAGAAATTCCAGACCGACGGTGAAGAAGCATTCCAGCAGAACTGGTTCGCGACCAGGATAAAGTAAAGAGAAAACAAACCATTTGATGTCATTTTGATGCAGTCCTACACTCATTAAAGCTAGCTGCTGTATATTTTATTCATATTTGCTAGATTGCTTAAAATCTTCCATTATTTACTAAGTGAATAATCTTTGTCCAGATAAGATAAAATACCCATGATATACCTCGTATTAAAGGAATAGTACACCCAAAACATGATTAGCCTTAATTTTCTACTCACCCCCATGCTGAACAACACTCTGGAGTACTTTTTTGATATCTCAAATGCATCTGGAGATCTGGGAGGCTTCTTGCTGTCTGCTG